ACCGCAGTTCAAAATATATGAACTTCATATATTCATTGTATCTGATTTATCATCACGGGTTTATTACGAATCAACTTAACGGCCTGCTCCCAGTTGGCTTGTTAGCTCAATTGGTAGAGCGCTGCACTAGTATCACAGAGGTCAGTGGTTCGAATCCCGTACAGGCCTGATTTTTTTCAGGTCTGATTTTCGCTATTGCATAAATAGCGCTCTCTACTGCGAGGATCATGCATCATATGTATCTAATACTGCAGTTCAATATATGAACTTCATATATATATTGAACAAGATTAATCTTGTTAATCCAAGTTTTTGCAATGAAGTCACAATTGCTCTGACAAGATGTGGATTGCAGAATTACCAGCTGATGTTACATGTTGATAATTTGGACTTTGGCAACATTGTCTGTCAATCAATATCTTCCTTGATGTGATGATTACAACTAAAATCCCTGTATGTACAGTTTATCAACATCAATGTTTCACATCCCCATAAAATATTCAAGACACGTAACATTAACTTAAAAACAATAAAGAAATGTACTTCTGCTACTAATGCAAAAGCAATCATAAAGAAATTATTCTTTTCATAATGAACTGTATATTGATCCAGTTTTGCTTACTCTACTGTTAATGTAATATATGTCTACCAGATTTTAGTACCTACATACAGGTATAATTAAAATCTAGAAAATTTATTCAACATGACACTCTTTGATCAGCTTCAATTTGTTTAAACTAACTAAAAATATGATATATCTGTCGTCCTGGACCCAGGAATGAACTCAATTACAAACGCCTAAAAAAAAATTGTGTGATGGGATATGGGCAGGTGTTTAGATGCAGCTACAGATATATAAAAACCGATTTAAACGAGTGGAGAAAATTTTATTTTTAAATTCCAACATGCACTACTTCAAGATGGCAGTGGATGTTACCCGGAAAATTCTCCATATCTTTGTGGATATCCTCTGAATGATCTTTCGTCACCAGGAATGTATCTTTAACACAACAACACAATATATTTGAACAACAGCAAACATATTTTACCTCAAAGGTACTTTATGTTTGTATCAAGTTCTTACATATTACCTTCAAACCTTGGGACATCTTGTTCATCAAAGAGTTTTTCTTAGCATGGTACTTATAACGCTAGCCTATAAGGTTCCTTATTCGAATACAACACTGCAAATGCACTTGTGGCAGTCATCCCAGCGATTCGCGGTTCAATAACCAGGGTAAAAAAAACACTTGGAAGTAACTGACCACTACTTCTCAAAAGCGAAATAATAGAAAGAAATATTGCAACTCACCGATGGGGTGGACCCCTAGACATAATCTAAAGTTGACTGCGTATCTTGAAAATGACGTTGATGGCGTAAAATTCAAAGTGTTTTATCGTTGGTTCCCTCGTACTCAGCTTAAACAAAGCCGCCATTTTGAGAACTAACATCGCGAAGGGCTTGGTACGGTGATGACGTCACAGCTTTCGTTCTCAGCTGTCGCCACGATTTCAGCTGTCCTTGAGAGTTCTTTTCTTTACTTCGTATCAGAAATCAAATTAGGGAAATTTTGTCAATTAGGACATTTTGCTTTCATCTCATTTACGTGACGAATTTTGACTTGCAGACAGTTATTGATCTAAACAAAATCGCGAAGACGTTCACATTGAAATTGTTTCGCTTGCGTGACAGCCTGAAAGAAAAAAAAGACATGTACAGAGAAAGACAAAGAGAAAGACAAGGTAGCGAAGAGAAGTAGTTTGCTCTAGAACTATGGTTTACTCAGAAAATTAAAAAACAAGAAATACTTTCATGCAACTATTTTCCAGAAAAAAATCCCTACAAGCTTTTATATTATATTCTATGTCACTCCATTTTATCTAAATAATTATTTTTTCACGCCTGCCAAAACAATTTCGCGCATATGTTTGGTATGTTAATGTCTTGGAACAAAATGTATGCGCTCGTCTTTGACTCTGGGAAAGGAGACCAGGACGATATACTTTTATAGACTGTAATATCTTTAACAAGCCTCCTTTTTTTGTTCTCCGAGGATAAGGACGGCAAGGAGCGGGACGAGAGGGACAAGGCTCGATAAGTGGGCTATATTTAACCTCAGTGATAATTTAGTTTTATCAACTGAGTTGATAGTGTAAATTTGCCACCGTAAAGAATTCCTAAAGCAGACGTTTCGAGTGTTAGCCCTTTGTCAGAGCGAAAAGTCAGCTTTGAAACTCTTTACGGTTTTCAATTTACATTATCAACTCACGTATGATGCACGATCCCCGCAGTAAAGAGCACTATTTATGCAATAGCGAAAATCAGACCTGAAAAAAATCAGGCCTGTACGGGATTCGAACCACTGACCTCTGCGATACTAGTGCAGCGCTCTACCAATTGAGCTAACAAGCCAACTAGGATCAGGCCGTTAAGTTGATTCGTAATAAACCCGTGATCTCAGCCGATAAAACAAAATTATCTTGCTACACTCTCCCACCGATGCAGCACCACAGCGTCTTAAGAAAGTTACCCCGTTTATTTAGACTAGCCTGCAATCGGAAGTCTCTTGTGTCTCCCACAAAAACAGCCTATTTCTTTCACATTTTGACGAGAAAGTGTGTACAAAATTTATCTGTATTTGTAATTGCACCTTTTTTCTCCACAAGAGCCAATGGGAGGAGGCTCAGCGAAATCTCAGCGTAATGTTGGAAATTATGTTGTCGCTTGAGTGACCTGAGTTTCACTTTACCATTACTGCAACAAATTATCTTGTGACTGGAGAGTTAACAAGCATGGAATTTTCAAATTGAATACCCGCTTAAGTAGAGTGGGCTGCTAGTTTACGTGTGAGTGAAAATAAATGTCTACACAAGACGTGCCATAATTATAAACTGAAGTGTCTGGCTTGGCTGCATGCATGTGAAGTGATGCAGCGTGAACTTTGCTCACGAATATTTTGTGAGCCTATTTGCGCGGGTGAAGTGGATCGGAGCAGGTGTAACGTGATTTTTTATATATATATAAAATAAATAAAGCCTGGGATCCTCAAATCTAACTGATTTTGCTTGTGATGCAGTTCAGTTGGCCAATAAATGAACCCGTCATTAAAAAGCAACAGTATGGATGGTTTTGAAGATAACATCATTCTGTTGCCTGAGGGTGTACTTGATTTGTGAGTTTGGAATGCGACTGGTAAATGGGATGGGAGGTAATTAGGCAAATAGGCCAGGGCAGACAGAACTAGTGGGTCGAATAAATCAATTCCTGCTGCTGGCGTTAGGTCTTGCACGAAAGGGCTTAATTGCATGTTTCCATTTTAATCTTGTAGTGAAATTAGCATTTCATGTGAGAAAAAGAAAAGAGGTCCTTACAGCACCTTCGGGGAAGTAAAATTCATAGAATGATCGGAATATATCTGATTACTTATATTGGCTAATTTGGCTGCCGATTTTGTTATGTTTCGCCTCAGGCTATGCTACGTTGTAGTTTTTTTTTTTTTAAATTTAAATGAAGTAATCAATAACATTGGAATGATATGATTTACAACCGTACTTTATAACAGTTAAAGGATTGATTTTTCTTTATCTATGAGTGACGCTGCCGCCGGATAAGTCCATCTTGCGAAAGACCAGGAAAGAGAATTTGATCCAATAGTAAGTCTATCCGATTCAACTTTATTTACCAGAGGCTGTTCAAGAACAAATTTGAATCTGGACGATGGCAGAAAGCAGCACAACTACACAGTGTAGTAATTTTCCCAGTGGAACGGGAAAACATTTCTTACAGGCTCCAGAGAAAGTCGGCAAGGCTGTTCACCCACAGGAATCTCGCAATGGACGATCAGATAACCAGACAGCTGCTTCGTTAGTGTCGACAAAACCACCCAGACGAAAAAAGTCTCTAATGGAGAGCCTTAGGAAAAGTTTCAGCGAATTTCGTTATGGGCCTAAATCTGAAGGTTCAGAGAACGTTAAAAAAAGTCAGCAAGAACGATATGAAAACAAAGAGTCAGAAGTTAGAGAAGCTGAAATTGAAGGAACACGTGTTTTGGGTCGGTCGAGCGAAGGGAACAAAGTTGATTCGTGTTCAAGTCTACCGGATGCCGTGAAGAAATTTTTGAGCTCCCACGCTACTTCACTTGGTATAAAGAGAGGCCAAGATTATATTTTAGATGTAAACAGGTTCGGAAATGAAGTAGATAAGATTGGTCTTAGTTTATTTGACATCGTTAGACATTCCAAACTACAAGCTGTAACACTTCAGCGTAAATTAGAGGAAGACTGGGGCTTAGAGCTGGGTCGAAGAGACAGTGGGGACCTCTTTAGAAGCCCTTCTATGAACAGGCAACATGAGAAAAATAATCAGGAAAACACAGGGCTGGATAACAATTTAAATAACTGTCCCGACACTGGAGGGATTCTGGGGTTGAAATGTTCTATTACAGTGCCTGAAACGCCCGGAAATGGTACGCCCGGAAATGGTACGCCTAGAAATGGTACGCCCGGAAATGGTACGCCCGGAAATGGTACGCCCAGAAATGGTTCTTCCTCTGAGACGCCAAATCCAAGCTTGAAAAGTCCTCAACCTCGGCATGGAGTGTACATTATCGGATTAGCTGAAGGAGGAGTGGCAAACAGATGTGGTGAACTGGCTGTTGAAGATTTGATCATTGAGGTAAGTTGCTATGAAGCAAACTCTCAGCGTCGATCAACTCGACCTCATAAAGGCACGTACCCTTATGTCGAAAACATGACAAAACCACGCAAGTCGCAAAAATATGGTTTCATGCTTCAGCATTTAGTGAATCGGTGATGACAACGACAAGATTCTCGACAGTTTGCACATAAGACAGGTAGTCCTCTCTTTAGCGAGTTTCAGCTATTGGCAATCGTAGTTAATGGCTGAAACTCGAATTTATCGGGGTGAGCAATCAGCAATATTCAGAATTTAGAAAACCACAGTAAAAGCTAAATGAATAAAGGGGTAAGTTTCTGAGGAAACTGTAGTGCTGCGTCGATAAGAGAGAAAAGTCGCATTTCTCCATGAGTTGTGAGTTTCTTGCTCTTGGTCGAAAAAACAAGGAAAAATTATTTTTTGTTGAATTTTTTTTTTTGGGATTGTTCCGCACGTACTCATTGCCTTGAGCTAAATATTTTCCTGTACGACGCTGTCTGCCTGAGATAAATATTGAGTAACGAATGCCCGTAATATTGTTGTCTGCGCGCGTTCAACGCGATATGATAGGTTCGTCCGGGACTTGGAAAAGTGTTTATTCACTTCTGTAGTGTCCGCCTAGTACGGTGTCCACCAAACGTAATTTTCACCGTAATCTTACTGTAGTCTACGGCTCAAGTGATATGGTCTCGGATACCCGAAAAAGCCCTCCCTCGGGACAACTTCACGGTGCGTTTTCATGGAGTTTTGAGTTGAAACAGAGGTCCTTTCCAGTCTCTCTCGGACTGAGCTGAAACATTTAGTATTCTCTTCTCTGGTAGGCGAGCCGAAAAGTCCATAACTAAAAAATTGTCACGCATGACCGAAGTAATCTGCCTGCCAAGACAGGACAACTCGACTCCTGACCTGAGTTCGCGATTCTCATGTGAATAGCTGGTTGAAATTTAAAAAAGAACAAATGAAAACTTGCTCCGGCGGCAGGAAGGACGTTCGTCACGGGTACCCGATCCGCGAGACCATATAATAGGCCCTAACGGTCGCTAACCAAGATACATGTTGAAGCATGTAAAATCCCTGATTTCATTGCCAAATGCGTCTTTTTGTCATGTTCGACGCCATACTATTCGAGAGATGACAAACTAAATATTGTTAAAAGACAAAAAACAAAACAACAAAACAAAACAAAACAACAACGCAGAGAATATGTTAGCTTTCTGCAGAGTATTCAATGATAAAAAGGAACGCTATTCAACCATGACGTTCCGGCGATAACAGGTCACCATCATCAAGAGGGTATCGACGGGGTGATGACTTTTACGCCTTATAAGAGGGTCTTAATGGAATTAACCGTCAGCCGCGCGCAAAACGGTAAAATAATGATAATATAAATAGCCGTTAAGACAATGTGTCATTTTGTGACATTTTGTATAAATTGTTAGCCCTAAAATGGCCAAAATTTTACTGTTAGTCGTAAAACCCAGGACCCTTTTGAGACCCTCTTATAGTTCTGGCCATTTTATCGGATCGGCTAATGTCACGGTCAAAGATATATTTTCACGGGTTAAATTTCTTTATGACGGCTGCTTTCTTTTTTTCTTCTTTTTGCTGTTTAACTGCTAACGGCTAACCCCATTAAGATCCTCCACTTTAATACAAATGAGAAAGATTACCGATGTCATATATCTAGAAAACGAAAGTGTAAAACATACGGGGATTAAACAATCTTGGGCGATGAAACAGAACCCTTTCCAGCAAACTTTACCCTTAACTATTCCATTCTTTTGTTCTCCACATTTCTGATTTTGCTGCGTTTCCTGCGACTTCGTTTCTACATGTATATGTGTCATCGGTAATCTTTCCTCATTCGCTTTTGATGATGGTGACATGTTTAGGCCGAAAGCTGAGGTCATGGTTTAGAAGCGTTGCTTTTTATCCTAAAACATTTTCCACAGAATCACGATAAATAAACGATAAAATGGAGGACCGAGCCAATTTGATATTCTTTGTGATTTTGAACACTTATCCACAGCTTTCACCGACACTGAGGTGAACATTTGTTTTTGTATATACCACACAGACTGAAATTAAAAAAAAAAAATAGTTAACTTCTTTTAAACACGAAGGCGCGCTATTTCAGATCAAATGCCGCAATAATCATCAAATATGACGACCAACGGTCCCACCTTTTATAGCGCGCCTTCGGGTTTAATATACCGAAAAATGGTCCGAAATGAAACTCTATGTGGTTATATTAAAAGGCTATACTGCTCTTCTTCTTTAGGTCAATAGTATCATGACTCTAAATTGTTCGGCTGAAACTGTCACTGCTGCTATGGAACAGATCACCACTGTGAATCTAGTGGTTGCAAGGAAGAGGGACGCTTAAGATATCAACGCATGTAAAGATCCAGAAACCACTGACCCTTACGTTACAGTTAATGAATTGAATGGCCAAACATTTTTTAAGCCTAAAAGGGAACTTGGGTTAACTTAGACCGCGACAGCAACGAGAATGGTGGAAAAAATGTGTTCACAAGAAGAACAATAGCTATGCACGTGCATTTTATAACTTTGTATAATTTTCATCTTCCTTATAGCTGACAAAACCTACTCAACAAAGTGATATCTGGCCAAATTTTGGGTAGTTTGACAGCGGGAACCCCAACGGCAAATATTCATGTTTATATTTGCAGTTAAACGCTATCTTTCCACTTAACGATGAAATTAAGACTGGGATATATATATGGGCCATCTGCGAACTCTGAAGGTTCGGTTCAGTTTTTTATCAAAATTTTCCTCTGCGCGTTAGTTACCACTTAAAGAAGTATGCTCCAGAAACCACACAATTTCTTTTAACATCTCTATTTAAAAATTTACTTTGAAATCAACAAGTAAGTTAGCTTTTCAAATGTTATCTCCAAATGTACTTAACGTTAGCAGAATAAATTTCAGTTGAAAACATTTCAATAACTTTGCAGGACACCTTGCAACACCCACTCGATGTCCAGGAATTGGTTTACAATAAGCTGGCACGCTGGTTATCAAGAACATCTTTTTGTGTAGCTCCTTTAAATATTCAAATGAATCAGAGGAGAGAAAGTTATGCGGTATCACAGATAAAAGGTCAGGTTTCTGAGTAAGACTGAAAATGTCGCTCGTTAAGATCGAATATATTAGCAATTTTGAAAACAAATCTTCGTAAGGTTTTCTTGAAATTTGTCGAATGTGTAAAGAAATTTTAAGACTAGTCAGCTTGGATTTTTTCTTCGAAATAACAATAACAAATATGCAACTACACCTCAGAATGTTTCTACTGCATGTCCTTAACTGAATTAAGCCCAATGTATTATACCAAAGAACCACAGGGGAGGTTTTGTACTTATCAACAACTGAATAACCTACAGGAATTTCAATGTTTTTTGGTAAAAAACATTGAAATGATTTATTAAAACAAGCTGAACAGTCAAAACGCACTCGGCGTCTGAATATTGAGTTTACAGTCAGTCACACACTTCTTCTACAGCATTTCAGTACTGTTTCGTCAACACAATGAATCATTAACTTGATTTCCTGATTGACTTTGATTGACACTAAGTTATGCAATTAAGCCACGTGAATAAGTCTGCTTTCAGTTCAGATGTTTTAGATTCGAAGTTACGTTCATGTCAGTTTTGCTGACCTGTCGCGCTGACCCGTATTCTGTTCTACCCTGATCTGTTTAATCTGTTGCTGACCTGTATACCATGAAACAATCCTACTAGACATCGTCAAAGAAGTAAGTTATCAGTGCTGTAGTTCTAAATTAATGATTTAATATTTAATTTCTGTTTCTTGTATATCTATTGAATCTTTTGTTGAACCGAAATTTATGTAAGATGTTTTAGCGTCCATACACTGCCCGCCGAGACTAGCCATGCTATTTGTGGGTAGTGGTTGATTATGTTTAGTTAAGTTAGTTAAGTTAAGTTAAGTTTATTTAGTTAAGTTATACAAATGTAATATATTTATTCCCTTATAAAACAAAATAAAACAATAAAAAATCGAGCTGATAGTTTGACTCGTGTGGTTATGTATCGATGGATTCTGTTCAGTTTCTCAAATGTATTTCATTCTTTTCTCTAGATCGAATGATAATATACTGGAATAATTTATACGATTTGCGTAAGCTAGTTGGATTGCCTGTTTGGTTTATTGGACCAAGTAACGTAGCTAACAAAATAGGCATCAGGCGTCATATTTTGGCGGATTCAGCCGAGCAGACGCCAGCGCTGGGAAAAGCGCGTGCGCATGAGGGCGAGTGGCGGGGGGAGTGGAAAAAAAATGGCGCTGGAGCGGGGGGTCTTAGAAAAACGGCACTTAGGAATATTTCTGGCAGCTAATTCTCAGAATCTTACGGAGGCCACTACGTTGAGAGTGGTCAGAGGGAAAGAAATGACTTTTGCTCATTTCCTAAAACATATCGCCTCTTAACCTCTCTTTAAACGGGACTTGAGGGTTGTCCTTAGATACGTGTCAATATCTATTGCCTGAGGGTGGAGGATTTTTGGAATCACTTTGTTTGCAGGGTGAGTGGATGGCGAATCAGTCGTCACCAACAGGGTATAAGGGGGGCTATAGAAGATTTACTACCATTCACCTGCCAATGATGGGGTTCGGGCGGGAATTATGAGAATATTACAAAGCGACCGCGGTTATGGCGGGGATCAAGTACATTTTATTGATACACAACCAAAACCTTGCACTTTTACGTATAAATTCCATCTTCTTTATATCTTCTTACGGGCGCTTTTGTTACGGGCGTTACTTCGTGTACAGCCCCTAATTATATAATTGCGGTGGTTAGTTAGCCTATGCCAAGCTAGCTCTCGTTTGCAAACGTTTCTCATCTCTATAACAACAACAGCCACCAGTGTCCACTCGTCTTCACGAACGGCAAAGTGCCTAGAAGAGGCTTTAGTGTGTGAGGCAAAAACAAAAAATTCTGGCAATGTCGGCGACTCTTAGGTTTCTCCATTTACTGCATTACGGACTCAGTTTGTTAGTCAACCTCGTTCCCAGGGTCACTCATCTTCCCGCCCTTCTGGAGCGGGAAGATGAGACCCTGGAAACGAGGTTGTTTGTTAGTGCGTTTTAATTTTGGAATTGGGCCAGGGATTTGTAGCCTACGTTAAGTTTGATGTTTTTATTCTGCCGCAAAGATCGTAGGTAGTTAAAAGCAGCTTTTTCCTCGTCAGTAGTAATACCCAGTGCCGAGTACAGATTCTTGAGGCCTTCCGCTCTCGCTTCCTCCACCACCCGTAGCGCTTTCGCTTTTGCATTGGCGTCAATAACCACGGCTTTAGCGCTCGCATTCTGGGCAATTTCTCGGGCTTCGTTGTAGATCTCGTTCTTAATCCTTTCGGTTTCCTTTCGAACAACCTTTATTGGAAAATGGAATAGTTAGTAGTTAAACCTACATGTAGATGACAACTCAAATTATAGATTAGCTAACATACAACAGTAAACGGGGTCGCCAAGCAGTTAGCGCTCATCTATTAGGGAGCTGGAGATGTGGGGCAGACAGTTAAGGTGTTGGAGGTGATAGGGCCAACCATTACCTCTTCCGCTGACGCAATGTCAGTTACAAAATAGTTTCCACAAAAACAATAAACATAGTTTACCTTTTCCCGCAATTCAAATTGAGCCCGTTCTTCTTCAGCCGCCTCTGTGACTTGACGCAGATACCGACTTTTCACATCGTCATGCACATCGACCGCCAATAACTGGAAGTATCTGACTTCCACGAACATTCCTCTTTCGTCATTCTTACACAAGGAATTTTCAATGCAGTAGCCACAAGCGGGCATCTTCTCTTGTTCTGTGGGACAGGTTTCACTGCAGCAGCCATCTACACGCTTGGCAAGAGCTTTGAACAGTTCTTTTTCGATATTTTCTCGGTTCCTTGTTGGGTACAGATAGGAAAAAATGAATGAATAAATGATCCCCTGTTTGCTCAACAAAGAAAAAGAAAAAAGGGTCGCAGAAACCTTGGATCTTCGACACTACACCCTCCAGCTAAACTGTGTCTTTGTCGCGGAAACAGCGGGTGCCTGGATCCGTAACCACAAGTTTGCTGAGACTAAATTTTGCCGATACGAAAAAAAGAACACACCCGAACACATCGAAAGAAGAGCATAAAGCTACTTTTGCAAAACCGAGCTTGACTTCTAATGGAACACCACACGATTGGGTGCCGTGTAACTGAAATGTAGTTATTACCACTTGGCCGTGGAAGGTATGGGCAAGAGACTTATTTCTGAGTAGCACGTCCAGCCACAATATTGAGGCATGTCAATGTTTTTAGTTATTGTTTTAAGTAAAAAGCACTCGACATCGAAGGTTTCCCATTTTCCCTTGATCCCCTCCCTTTTTGGTTATTAGAGAGATTTAGCACCGCGTTTACGTGAAACGGAAAAAGTCAGCCGGCCGGGGCCCTTTTACATTTCACTTAAAACACCGTGAACCTTTGGCTTCGCGTGAGCTCACACCATGGTGGATTTGAAGGCACTCTTGTATTACCTACAAGGAATAGTTTTTGCTGATTGGCTATCTCATCTGGTTGTCATAATTAGCATAAATTATCATAGGTAATTAGAGACCACGAGGTGAAATAAACATGGCAGTTGTGTTCTAGAATCGTAGTGCTCTTTGTTCGCCGCTTACGACTCTTTCTCCATAGTCAACTCTACAAATCAACAGTTTTGGGCCCTTTTCCCGGCAATTAACTTCTACTCTTTGAAGGAGAAAGTGAAGAAAATCTTACATAGACGGCAAAAGCGAAACAGGTTACTTTCACGTAAAAACGGCATTTTGCAGCTGGCAAACGTGAAAAATGGCGGGCAAAACAAGGTCGCGTGATCATTCCTTCCGTTCACTTTTCACGTTAACGTGGTGCTAAATTTTTCTATTCCCTTAAGGCCACCAATCCCTTATAGGCAAAATAGTTACAAACCTGATGTAGTCGTCGATTGGTAAATCTGCAGCGCGCCCTTTTATGGCGTCAATAGCCGTTCCCCTGACAACAGGCTTGTAGTCGACATTATAGGCCTCATGTAAATCTGGCAGAAAGTCCTTTCTCAGAAAATATTGAAAATTGCAACTGATTTTGATTTCAATTTTGTCCCCAGTCCACACAGAAATCTCGTTAAGCTCGACAAAATGAGCATCGGCTTGGAAAACCTTGAAGGTGTAGTCAGGACCCACGAAGTACCGACCTGAGGTGTACACCTCGCTGATGTCTACATAACCAGTGGACTTACGTCTCTTGAAGCCGAGCTGTATGAAAAAAAAAAACAAAACAAAACAAAACAAAACAAAAAAACAAAAGAAGGATGGAAAGGAAAACAATGCATTTCAGTGTTTGCTAGTTTTTTAATTGAATGTCGTCAGACCCAAGCTAAATTAATCACAGTTATAATATACATGAAAAATATTCAGTTGTGATCGGCTAAAAAGAATGCAGTCTTCGTGTAGCACGTGTGTAGATTACAAATATGACTCTTGAATGAGTGTCTCGTAAAAGTTTGAGTTTGACGACTGATGCTTCTGAGTGTGATGAAGAATTTTTTTTTGTTCGTTGGATAAACATAGATTCTAAAGCTAAAAGCAGACAAGTTTAAAAAACCCTTTTTTGTTTATTTCTTCCCCATCCTTTTATTCCTATTCGCCAAATGATATGATATCAACAAGGGATAACTTGAGAGGGAAACTTAGTATTTCTTCATCACTCGACCCCAGTTTCCTAACAATGGCCATACCACAAGTGCACCAGATCACGTTCCATCTCAAGAATACTTAAACGTTCAAGGGCTGCGACATGTTGACCTTGTAAAGTCTTTGTTTTACTACGATCACAACTGCATGTACTCGAGCTTAAGGGAGGCGGAGCCCGGAATTTGACTTGGGAGGTGGACACGGTCTAAACGTGCCTCGCTGCACGAGAAATGTGCTTTATGAAATATTATGAATAAACATGCATTTTTCCCAAATCAAATCTACCCCCGACTTGTTGGTTTTATTCTTTTCTATCATTGAATTCATCGATTTTTTTCACTTTTGCTTCTTATTGATAAATTACAAAACATTGACGTTGCTAAGTTGAATTTTAAGATTAGTACAGCACAGTGAAGAGCTAAAGTGAGATATCAAATCATCGGGAGTTACATTGACAATTTTGACTCTGAAATTATCTGCTTAAGATGTTCCCTTCATCGCACGCAAACTGACTTACACTTTGCTTTTCCAAAGTCGGCACTAAGCTGAAACCCCCCCCCCCCCGCTCTCAAATAAATTTTGCACCACGTCAGTTAACGCCGATCAAGAGTCAATTCATTCCATGTACGATCGTGCTGAGTTACAAATAAACTCTAGTGAAATGCAAGTCCAATCAGTCAAAAGGAGATTTCATTGCTTCATCGTAACTTTACATTTTTTGTTTGCCTGGCTATATAATCGAAGCGATGTGGTTGTTTTGTTTTGGCTGTTTCGATGGTTTTTCTCGCCGTTTCGATGCATTGTTTTTCTCGCCGTTTCGATGGTTTTTCTCGCCGTTTCAGTGTTTCGTTTCAATAGTTTTGTTTTGTTTTTGTGGGTTTCGGTGCATTTCTCGTATTGTAAGTTGTGGTTCGAACCAAGAGGTGAGACCGCCAGGAAGGTCAGTGGAATTTTTGGGAAACTCTCGGTCGCTAAAAGTCTTAAAAACTCAGTGTGCATTTCCAATAAGTTGTCGAGATCAAAGTAGTCCTGGAGGTTCTTCTGATTTTAATTCGCCCTTCGTATAGGCAGCAGAAGACGCATTGCACCTTCACCTCAATTTCATCTGCTTTCTTCAGAAAATGCAGTTATTCAATAAATATATTGGCTGCATGCCTCCTATCCAATATCACAACACCCTCTAATCCTAATGATGCCTAGGCAAAACTTGAGCCAGCCTAGCACGTTGGATATTTATATCGTTGTCAAAAGTTCCCGTTATATGTTTAAGCAACGAGAACACGATAGAAACTATCATTGTGATTGAACTTAAAAGATTCAGTGGCTTAGTTTACGTACGAAAAATTTTTCTCATATCCGAGATTTGCAAAATACGGTAGCTGATATCAATTCATTTGAAATTAACTCATGGACGTTACTCGACAAATATATTAAAACAACAAATTTAGTACGATTTTGGTGCTATATTAGGTGTATTACGAGAAAAAGACTTCTGAGAGGAAAATTTTCGGAGAACACGAAAGTTTAACAGAATCAAGACGTAAGTTTTCGTCACGACAAGGCGAAAATTTCCTGCTTCCCGCGAGGTCAGGCAATGTTATAGAAGATGTGTTCGTGCATAGAATAACTCATTTTAATCGATAAAGTTACACTTTCTTACCTCGTAGTATTCCACATCAGAGAAGCTGGTCGGGATAAGAATGACGATGAGTAAAGCTGCAATGCCTACGACAGCTGCTATGATCGCTGGAGCAGAGTTAGCCATCTTGTAGAATCACTGTTAGGACAAGAAACCAAGTTAAGTTATTCATGCAGAAACATTCCTGTTTAGAAAATCATGAGAGAATGATACCATCTGTCAACGATCAACGCGCTTGACGTAAAAGTAACGTAACAACTGAACTATGTAGAGAATTAACAATTTCAAATGTTATCGTAAGTTCCTTAAAAGGAATCGTAAAATGATACGTTTAGTTCATATTTCGATTAAATAGCTTAGTTTTGCGGAGACCTGCATTAGCGCATTGTTAGACACGTCCTTGTGATTTGCTTCTTACCTGTACACTGTGTACGGCTGTCCGAATCAAGAAAGGTTATGGAAACTCACTATTGAAGTAAGTTCGTCTAAAATATCGTCAATCATTTCAGTCTTGTCGATTTATCTGGAATTAATGTGCTCTGTTAGTACGTGCGTGCGTGCATTGAATTGACGATTTTTTACCGCATGGCGTACATATTAGTGGACAACTTTTTATCAGTTACACCCGCTTCACTCTTATTATGAGTTGATTTGGTTTTCGTTCGAAACTCCAGCTGTTGTGAAGTTTAACGTAACCATGGAGCTTCTGAAAAAAGTAACGCACACCTGCTCTTTATGTTGCTGTTAACGTTGATATGTCGTTTCAATCTCAGGCTCTGTTGATAGTGTCTCATTAGGAATTCACGGTCAAGCGTTAATTGATAACATTTTTAGACTGCTGCATATTGCACGCTGTTTTCAATCTTATCACTCGACATTTGCATAAGTCTCTAACAAAGGATGTTAGTCGTGAACAAAGAATTTTTTCCTGTTGTGACACGCATATTAACAAGTTTTTAAGATTGGACGCTGAGTGCATAATTCGTTCTCGACCAGGTCGAATAGGCCGAAAGATCTGTACGGACTCAAGTTCGAAGTGTGCAGAGATATTTGGCCTGAACAACCATGGTTTGTGATATAAGCAGGTCTGCGAAAATTGCTGGAGTAGTGTTCATTGCTGCAATCATCTTTATTGGCGCAATGGTTGGGACTTCGTTACGAAAGCTGAGCACGGAAGAAGGTATGTGTTGAAGAACTTGCTACCTAATCCGCAGAAATTCTTAAGAATATAGAAATTGCTGACCAAACTGAGAGGGTAGATGAATATTGTAGACTTTTCTTAACCAGAAAAATCTCGAGATTTGTTTTAACTAAGCGGATGAGTTAAAATAGATGGACCATGAGATTATCAAGAAGGAAGGAACAGATTCACTGACATTTGCTGTGGTGTGCAGCGAACAGCAGAACTCTAATATTTAAAGGCAAAGGTAAATTGTTCGATAAGCCTCTTTTCGCTAATGGAAGCAGCTCGCTGCTAGCATTAAATTCAATTATTTTTTCGTGACCTTGCCAAAGGTAAACAAAACAAAGAGAATTGAAAATTGATTTTAGTAGATCTGCTGATGAGGGAAGAGTTCTCGTATAACTTTAAAATGGTATGTCCAAAGACGCGTTCCATTGGGTTCAATGGTTCCTGGATAAAGTTTTAAAAGAAGCTTGTCCGTTTGCTAGCAGTTCAAAGGAGGTGTGCCTTTCTGTTTTCTCGAAGCCAACATGTCCAGGACGTTTCGGTCACGTCCGCTTCACCAAGTACAAATTTGTGAATGAAAGGTGTACTAAATTATCTTTATTATAAGTGTACTAATTCCAGTGACATGTTTGTGTAAATCTTTACTGAGAATTATGTCGGTGACCGAATGGAAAATGTTGCAAATCTGCCTTAGTTTCTATCCACAGCATATTCCAAAAATCCTCTTGTATTTTCATGAAGACATTTTTATCATTTTCAGGCTAATTTATATGCACCACGAAAGCGTAATTCAACAAAGGGGATACAGAAGCAACGAGATTAACTTGAGCTGGCCTTGTTACAAACGAACAAAGTTCAATAGTCATAATAAAACGAAGGCGAAAACCATGTTTTGTACAGAATTAATTTGACAGTCGAAGCACCCTAAATCTAACTTATTCCTAATCGGAGTGTATCTTTTCCAGTCGCCCGGTCGAGAGTGACCGGGAGACTGGGCATGAATCATGACAAATCAATAAACTTAGGGACGGACCATTGTTTTTCTGGAGGGGGGTGGGGATGAGAAATTTTCTTTTGGAAACATTTTTTAAAACATATTCTTCGCCCAAACATTTATTTTCCAATTTTTTTTTTCAGTGTTTTTTATTTGTGCTTAATATCACCATTGCCTTATTTAACTATTTCATGAAGAACGTAATCAATGTGTTGATCAAATTCTTTCATCTGTAACAGTTGGTGTGGCGTACAATATCCATGAGAAGAAGCTGTCATCTGAGGTGAAGAGGGAGGGGCTTCACTCTGGTTCCCCTGGTTACCGATTCATCATCTTTCCCAGTGTGTTTCAGAGCATAAGTTTTGAAGAGCTGGAGTGTCTTAACAAAGACGGTATTGAGATCGAGTTGAACGTACAGTTTCAGTATCGGGCTCGACCCAAGGAACTCCGAGATCTTATATTGCAGTTTAAGGACAAAGACAGCTACTTGAAACTACTAAAGTAAGTGCAACAAATAGATTTGTTTATGATAGTCATGTAAACTTTGTGATGATAAGCGTGGATTGACTGGTTCTAAAGGCAACAGTGAGTTTTGAGGGGAAAATCGAGTTCGAGGACGGACAAAACTCACTGTTTCCTAAGAGGTCAGTCATTCAGTGTTTTGTCATACCCCTCCCAACTAAAAAGATATCGGCCTGCACACAAATTTGCCTCGGTTTCAAGGAGCATGACGGTATCGGCATGCGAGTCGAAACTTCAGGTTGTTGTTTGGGAGTACGTATCACGTGTCACGTTCCCCTTCAATCGGAAAACGTATTTGAGTTGGAGGAATAACAACCGAATTTTGAGGTGAGATCGCAAAATCTTGACAGATCTTATCACAAAGTGAGAAAGGTAAAGTTATTTGCCTAATTTTACTTGAAAACGCTCCAGTAATCGATTTAACTCCAAGAAGTGATTAGCACGTAACTTCTCCCTTTAATCTTCACACATTACCGCGCAAACAGGTTATGAGAAAACGTAAACTTATCAGGCAGAAGTTGTTGACTTGATCAAACTCTTAATTCTTGTAACCGATTTACAAGGAAATGTGTAGCCGCTAGAGGGAACAATTAAAAGTCCAATCTTGGAAGTTGAAGGGCTCAACTATTTGCTTATTCATTTTTTTCCTCAGGAGCATTGCGGAGTCCGCTACCCAAGATTCTTGTAGTGCGTTCAATACCACACACCTACAGTCTGAAAGAGCTTCCTTTCAAGATCTCGTACGTAAAACAATTGGTCGAAGATTTGGCAGTGTGGGAGCTGATGTAGAAGACCTTCAGGTAACTAGCGGCACGAGAATACGCACAAAAGAGCTGGATAAGTAATGAAAAAAAAGGCTTCCTGTTGCAGTTATTTGTGTTGTTTTTTCTTTCCTTACCTCGTTTCCAGATCAAATCAATTCTTCCTCCCTTACTCATTCCTCAGGGAAAACGAAAAAAAATATGAAATGTTTCCCAAACCCCGCTCCTCCCAAGTCTGTCCCTAAAGGAGAGGGGGAAGAAGGAAGACCGAGCTTTCTCTCTTTCCTTTTACTGCATACCACGATGTTTTGATTGTATGTTTTGATTGTATGTTGTCAGTCCATTAGGCGATAACGTCACTTTAGGAATGGACTGCCCTCTTAACAACTCTTTCCTGAGGTGAAACGTGTAATTCTCCCGTTTAGCTGCTTCACATTTCCTTTAAATTAGTTTCTAGGTTTGGGCGTTACATCAAAACAATACCATTAACTGTAAGTGAATCTATTTCCGAGTCTATCACTTGCTTGCTACATAATGTAGTACGATGCAGTAAAACGTTAGATGTTTTTAAACCCTTTCCACCCACCAGGGTTTCAAGGGTAGGATAGTCGCTTGCTTCCTTGTAATAGTTCTTTACATGACGCATATGAAGATCAATTTTTTTTTCTTTACTCCAGGTTCAAAACATCATGCGCCCCGAATCCTACGAAAAAGTCATCCGAACCAAAGAAGCCGCCAAAGAAAACATAAAGATAGCAGAAAGTGAGCGTCCTCGCCTTGTTGTGCAAGCAAAAACTGAGAAAGAAGAAGCTGTAAAGCAAGCTGAGATCACCATTCAGCGTGCGGAGTCTGAAGCGAGGGTGCTCTTATCCAAGGCGGAAGCAGAAGCCAGCAGTATCAGAGCAGCATACGCTGCAGAAACGGCAGCATTCCAGCAGCTCCAGAACGAAACCCTCAGTAACAGTGTAGCAGGGCTTTTGTCGTATCTTGGAGTGCGACTCATCGCTGAAAACAATAATACTGTTAATGTAGCGCTGGAGGCTCCAGCTAAAACTAAGTATACCTACACCTAACCCTTCAGCACCCAACGACTAAGTTGTAATTCACTCTGGAAGCTGCTATAGATTTCCTTTTGAGGATTCTAAGTGATATTAACATATTCCAACCGGCAAGTTATATGTGATCAGTTCTTGAGTCAAGGGTTAGAAAGGAACAATGTAAGCAAGCCCCTGTGATGAACAGGGTTGTTAAAGTCAAGTCGTAAAATTCTGTTTAGTACAGATTTACCTGAGCTCAGCTTAGGCTATAATTAGCCCATCTTAGCTCTCTTTGGTTGCAGTAAAATGCCAGAGAATGCATAGGCTAAAACAAACAAACAAACAAACACAGAAGGAAAGACAAGCTTGAGATCTTTTATCTGAGCTTATTTCAAGTTTTAAGAGAAGAGAGATGTCCTCGATAAAACGTTGTTGTAATTGCAATTGAAAGCGCAATAAATAAAACAGTCAGTGGCAGTGAATTATCTGAGGTAAATATAATTGCATAGTTTGGTCCCAAAATAAAGAATAAATACAATTTGTATGTTAAGTTTCCATAAGCTAACGTAGAAAAGTGCTTAAGCAGAGAATCAAATAGCCAATGATTTCCGAAATTAGCCCCCCTATCCCTCCAACACTACTGATGAGTACTTTACCCGGCTCCTATAAGATAGAATTGCTTTGATTTCTCATTGTAAATAGAATCACTGTTCATGATCAATGATCAATCCTCGCGATCACAAGCTGTCTACAGTGTCCATATAATTCACTCAAAACACCTTCCATCGCAGTAAACAGGAGTTTAATCGTATGATTGACCTTTACTGTTCTGCAGCCCAATAACTAAAACTGTGACCTCCCGAGGTATTTAAGTTACGAAAACTCAGTCCTCGCTTACAGTTGACGTTTCACCCAAACACCTTCACTTTATCTCCCTATTAATACAATAAGTCAAGCCTTAAAATTTAACGACATTTTGTTGACAAAATGCCGCCTTTTTTAAGACTTGTAAAATGCGCGCAAGCCCCCCTAAAAAAGTACCCAAGTCATCCAAAACCCAACCAAACTCAGTTAATCATTTACCCAATACACGTTTAATCTCCTCAGCCTTTCCCCGCACTAAGATGGCTATCTTTTGATCAATGTTTTGTTTCTTTTGAAAAATTTAGCTCGTGTGATTTGACTACCTTCTACGCATAGGTTTGTTTCCTAAGATTAATGCGATTTAAGAGCTAAGAAATAGCCAGGTATGATATAAGAGCCTAGTAAAGGTTTCCTCTCCGCTCTTGATCCAGCTCAATGGCTTCAAAAAGCGACTTGAAGTTTCCGGCTCCAAAGCCCTGCACAACAAGAAGAGAAATGAATAATAAAAAAAATTCACTCTGTTGGATATTCACCTGAAAAATTGATGTGATCAGTCTGATATACCGACTACAGTTTGCAACTTCAATTTTAGCTAGTTTCTAGCCATCCTATGTTTGTAAGAATGGAAGACGATTGAAGACCAGAAGAAAGTTTTCAGACAATGAGGAACTCTTCGTACAGCAGTTTTCCATCGATAATCGAATGCAATCCTGGATTGTATTGCGTTTGCTAGGCTTCGCTCTGTGATTGGATTAGAAACCTCATGCCAACCTCTCAACCAATCGGAAGCAACACAGACACCAATCACGACTTGGTCAGTCGCGGTTTCCCGCGCTTTCCTCGCGCCTCAACTTTAAGAACCAAGCGGCTTCTTAAGAAGAATTTTTTTGCATCTCATTTATCGTTGGGATGCCCTTAGCATATAATTTACGACATTCAGTCAAAGTCCCTTTAGTTATAATTGCCAGCCGTCTCTTCACTCCAGACGAAAAGAAGATACATCCTTAACAATACAACAGTACCCTCCTCATCAGGGACCCTACCACCCCACCACTCCCCTCTCTCACCTGGTGATTGTGCCTCTGTATAACTTCTAACAATAGTGTTGGTCTGTCCTGCATCGGTTTTGTGAAAATCTGCAGCAGGTAGCCCTTGTCATCAAAATCGACCAAAATCTTCAGATCTTGAAGCTAGGACATGAAAAGAAAAAAAACGATATTTAAACAGAGCTTACTAAAATTTGTGCCCCTATCCCCAGAAGCCTGAAACTTGGGCCAGCCCCCCTCCCCCCTCCACCCTCAACTTTAGTTTGTTAACAACTAAACGTTGATTAATAATCCAAAACAGTCCTAAGTACTCAATGCTAATTCTCATTACTACTTCTCATTACTGTCTTTCATACAATTCTTATGATGTGAGTTTGGAGAATTTGATATTGGATCAACTAATAATCCCTTGGTTGATATTTTTTATAATTCTCATCATTTTCCTGCCTGATACAGTATTGTATTGTAATGAGAAATTCTGTCTTGGTCATTCATGGGAGTTCACGGATTAATGCAGGCAGGGTTTAACAGCCTTGGTTCATGTAGCTCATCTTTATGCGCTAAAATTACTGTCCACTGTTCCATCCCTCCTCCTCTCCCCTGCATCAAAGTTAAAATATCTCACCACATTCAGGTCTTCTTCCACCTTGATGGGTGCATCCTTAAGCCGTGCACGAAGATTTTCATAGTATGTGTCAGGAATAACGAGAAATTCCATGCCTCTCTCCTTTAAATTCCTTATCTTAAAAAAAGTAGCTTCATTGAAAAATTTTTAACAATCTTTGTACAGAAGATATACAATCTAGTAAAGTTAAAAGATTCAGGTTGTCACTTACGGCAGAGATAATGTCAGATGTGTTGAGTGCAATGTGCTGTACTCCTGCTGTTCCATAGTAGTCCACAAACTCCTGAGTAAGATAAGTATTACAAATAAAGACCAATGATGACACAGATTTTGAGTATTCCTAGCACTGCTTACATAAGAGGTTCAGATAAATGCTGGGAAATTAGTCCACTCCATTCACAATCAATTTTCCAGGAGAGTGTAGAGAGGGGAAGAGCCCCCCACCCACCCTTATTGTTTGAGCTGTACTGCTACATTCATCCCACAAGCCAAGCTATTCCAGCTTGGCTTAGTCAGCTGGTTAACCATTATTCCTGCATCTTAATTCAACTGAGTATGAATGGGAGTGTTGTGAATACCACTGATGTGTTTGGCATTGCTTGCTTTCTCTTGCAAATGCTAATTCCTTTGGTGTGATCCTGACAGGTCATAAAATAATTCTTTTATCTATCATGCTTGTGCTGTCAAAATGGCTGGATGTTTCATGAGTGTATTTACGGACCCTGACTAAGTCTCAGTGCATTAAAACCAAATGCAAAATAATCATAAAAAAAATGGTAATTATATTTATCTAACTTAGCAAATATTCAGTTATGAGAAAGACTTAGAACCACGTTTATGTGAAACAGCAAATGTCAGTTTGCCCTTTCGTGTTTTATGTAAAATAATGTGAACCTTGCTGTTTTAACTTTGCATGAGCTACTGTCATGGTGGATTTGAAAGCACCCTAGTATGACTCACAAGGAATAACGTAGGTGCCCTTTTTCCAACAATTACCTTCTACTCTGTGAGAGTAAAAAAAAATTTTGTACACAACAAACACAAAACAAGGAACTTTTACATACAAACGGCAAAGTGAAAATGGCAAACATGAAAAAAAATTGGTGGGAAAAATGTCACATGGTCATGCACTCTTACTGTTCATGTTTCTGGTAAATGCGGTGCTAAAATCTCTCTATTGAGACCTAACGTTTGGTCCAGAACCATTTACATACCTGTATCTGGCTCTTCCTTTTTCCTGGGGCTGGTTCATTGAGTGGCATCTTAATTGTCTCCTCCCAGTTTGTGACTACAATTGACCGCAGTGCACTGTACTCTGTATGAATCTAAACAACAAAATATCATTGTTGAGTTTACACAATGAAACAAATACCCCAAGCTCTGCCCTCTCACATAATCTGAAAGCATGACATACAAACCTTTCTTGCCTTAAAAAAGGTAAAATGAAAAGTAGGCAAGTTCCCAGAAATACAAAAAATACAGTAAATAAACAGGAAAATATATCACAGTGATAGTGAAGTCTGATCATCTGCATGGGTTTAGTCCTGAGAGGGACTATAGCTGGCGATGGTGGCTGTTTCCACAACCTGAGTGGACGTCATCATCAGGGTGACTCTCGCAGTCAACAGTCCTTCTCAGAACTACACCCACCTGGACCATCAGACGACACTATCACATGTTACCCCGGGGTTAAAACCATTTACTTTATCAGGAAAGTACATCTCAAACAGTGTTAGGAGGCTTCAATAAACCTTCCTGTGTACTGTATAAAACAACAGATTCCATTTTCCTGTATTTTCTTTTAGCTAAAAGTATCAGATGTAAGAACATCTGATACACTGTTTCCAGAAGTGTTTAACATGTACCTTCTCCCTACGATATCCATACATTACCTAGCAAACAGGTAATGAGAATACTCAAACTTATCAGGTAGAAGTTGTTATCCTGATTTAACAACATTTGCATGACTAATTTACAAGGAAAAGTGTAAAAGTTAGAGGGGAGAATTAAAATTCAGATCATGGTAGTTAAAGGGTTAAAAAACATCTGGATTGTGAACCTAAACAGACAGAATGAAAAGTGGAGTCTGTTTGTTACATTTAGTACCATACCTGTTTATCATCAACAGAACAAAACCTGTGAAACTGTAAATTCTTCTCATACCTTCAGAGGGTAGAGAACAAAGTGCAAATTTTACAAAGAAAATCAATAATTTTTAGGACTGAATATACATAAATTAACCCTCACAAGTGACCAAGGAAGAATTTCTCCTCACAATAACGATACAATATCCAGCAGATCTGCCTAAAGCATGAGAACATGTGAGGGAAAAGTCATGGTTGGTTTTATTATTGCATTTGATTGGTTAAAGATTTAATTGTCACAAGTTTTCTGGACCAACCACAAAAGTAGGGAAGTAAAACCACCTATATGTAATAATTAACCCTTTAACTCCTAGAAGTGATTAACATGTAACTTCTCCCTATAATATCCATATATTATTAAAAACTGGATCATTGGATAATGGCATTCATC